AATCAAAGCCCTGGGCCAGAGTTGAAACCTTTGGGCCTGCTGGGTTCTCAAACCTGTATATCAGGAACAGAACACTCTGGTTCAGCCTGTAATCTCAACACTTTGGGAGGCCAAGGCAAGTGGATTGCCTGAGCCCGCAGGTTCGAGACCAGCCCAGGCAACTTGGCAAGACATTATTCGGGCGTGGTGGTGGACTACTTGTAAGGTGAAAGGATCGCCAGAACCCAGCAGGTTGACGCTGAGGTGGCTGTGAGCGTGCCACTGCACGACAGTCTGGGTGACAGAGACTCCAACTCAAAAAAAAAAAAAAAAAAGATGTGGGGTACAATTCAGGGATTAGGTAGATAAGTGGCCATCGTACAGGTACAGCTCTGAACTTTCAAAACTAGGCAAAGACAATGATTCTACATTTAATCTCCAGATGAATAAGAAGCAGATTTGAGTTTACAAGGATTGCAAGAACATTCAGTGAAGAGAGTTGCCCCTACTTCTTTGCAGAACAGCTCTCAGGAGCTGCCAAATGAACCTCACTTTGACACAGAACACCCCATCTACTCTAATCCGGAGAATGTCCCTCAAGAGACATCAAGCAGAACTCTGCCAACTTCTGCTTGGGAGTTGTGTGAAGAATAGCAGCAACAAGAGCCTACTTTGAGAAGGAGATCAACAATCACACTCAAGAAGAAAAGAAGTTACTTGGCAAAGGGATGCATGTTGCCAAAATGTTAGTCACAGCATCAGGGTCCCAGTTTGTGTCTCCGCAACCATTCTTTGCTTTGACAAACTCCATTCTCTGACCCAGGAAATCCAACTCAGCTTCTGTCACCCTCCCTATTTGAAGCAGTGAAGAATCCTTTCAATTCGCTAAGATCAAACTGTGACACAGACAAGATGTCCACCAGAAACTAAAAAGGGGAGAAAAAAAATGTGTGATTTGCTATTTCCCACTTAGGACTGGTTCAAGTAGAGCAATGGAAAACTATGACAGGATAGGACAAATGGGAAATCATTATGTTAAAGAAGTAGGCTATCCCAGAAGCCCCCCCAGGAACCACTGAACCTCCATAAGCTGTCTCAAAACCCTCTTAAAAACAAAGCAGAAAGGGTTTAGGGTGAAATAACAGCACAACATTCTGCAGGTTTTTACGCCCCAAATAAGTGCATATACTTGCAGCCTGCAGCTCTTCCTGGAGTTAGCATGAAGACTAGTTTGCTGAAACAGTCTGTGAATCTGAGAACTACTTCAGAGCAAAAGGAAAATAGACTCGAGTGTGCCAGGTTACTCTTCCAATTAGAGTCCAAGAAGTCAAGAAAGATTCAATAATTTTCTTTTTTTATTTTTGAGTTGAAGTCTCACTCTGTCATCCAGACTGGATTGCAGTGGCCGCTCCCGGCCACCGCAGCCTCGACCTGCTGGACTCCAGCGATGCTTCCGCCTCAGCCTTCCAAGTTGCTGGAACTACAGGCGCGCGCTACCACGCCCGGCTGATTTTTGATTTATTGTAGAGATGAGTCTCGCCAAGTTGCCTAGGCGGGTCTCGAACCCGTGGGCTCAGGCAATCCACTCACCTCGGCCTCCCAAAGCGCGGGATTACAGGCTGAGCCTCTGAGCCCGGATTCAATAATTTTCAACACAACAGGACTCCTCTCTCTTCCCCACCCCCCCCTTTATTTTTTTTGGTGACAGCTGGTAAGTCTAGAATTGCTTCCCTCCTTTAAAGTCATCAGCAAAACCTGAAATCACTGTTTTCCACACCTTCCAACCTCCCATTTCACCTTTGTGCTAACATCATGTAACTAATCAGTACCAACCAGGGTAAACACTACTCTGATATCAAGTGTGAAGCAGAATTAGAAACTACCTCCTCTCTCACAAATCCACATCAGACCTCAAAAATGCCAAGACTTTCAGGAGCACTTCTTCTAAGCTAAACAAGCGCACCTATGAGCAAAGTGTGCAGATTACTATGCCCAAAGAAAAAGCCAAAACAGCGACAATTTCAAAGGATTAAAAAAAGGAACTAGGCTAGGCGCAGTGGCTCAAGCCTGTAGTCCCACTCAGCACTTTGGGAGGCCAAGGCGAGAGGATTGCCCGAGACCAGCCTGGGCAACTTGGTGAGACCTCGACTCTGCAATAAATCAAAAACTTATCCAGGTGTGGTAGTGCACACTTGTAATTCCAGCTGCTTGGAAGGCTGAAGTGAAAGGATCGCCTGAGCCCAGCAGGTCAAGGCTGTAGTGGCCGTGAGCGTGCCACTGCACTTCAGCCTAGGCAACAGAGTGAGACTCCAACTCAAAAAAATAAAATAAAATAAAGAAAGAAACTAAAATTGCCCACAAGCATACTGGTTTCCACCAACTGACAACAAGGCCACTGACTGGACTAATGCAGAAGGCTCAACTGTCCAAAATATTATTTTTCAGTGAATTCTCAAAGAGTTCATAAAGAAAGACAGTGTCTGCCAAGAATAAAATATAGTCATCCCTTGGTGTCTGTGGGGGACTGGTTTAGGGTCCAACCATAGATACCAAAATTCACAAATGCTCAAATTCTTTATATAAAATCGCATAGTTTTTGCATGCAACCTACACACATCCTCCCATATTCTCTAAATCATACCTAGATTAACAATGCCCAATACAACGAAAATGCTATGTATTGATTACAGCATTGTTAGGGAATAAGACAAGAAAAAAAGGTAGGTAGCTGGGCTGGGTGGCTCAGCCTGTAATCCCGTGCCTTTGGGAGGCTGAGGTGAGTGGATTGCCTGAGCCCGCGGGTTCAAGACCCACCTGGGCAGCAAGACCTCATCTCTACAATAAATCAAAAAATTAGCCGGGGGTGTAGCGGGCGCCTGTAGTTCCAGCTACTTAGAAGGCTGAGGTGGAAGGATCGCCGGAGCCCAGTAGGTCGAGGCTGTGGTGGCCGGGAGCGGCCACTGCACTCCAGTCTGGGCGACAGAGTGAGACTCCAACTCAAAAAAGAACAAAAAGTTGGTAAATGATCAGTATAGACACAACCATCCGTTTTTTTCCCCCAATTTTTTTTTTTGAGTCAGGGGGTCTCACTCTGTCCCCCAGACTGGAGTACAGTGGCACAATCATGGATCACCACAGCCTTGACTTCCTGGGCTCAGGCAATCCTTCTGCCTCAGCCTCATGAGTAGCTGGGACTACAGGCATGCACCACCAGGCCTGGCTAATTTTTTGTAGAAACAAAGTCTCGCTATGTTGCTGGTCTCAAACTCTTGGCTCAAACAAACCTCTTGCCCTGGCCTCCCTAAGTGCTGGGATTACAGTCATGAGCCACCATGCCTGGCCCCAAAATATTTTTGATCTGAAGTTGGTTGAATCCATTGAATCCACTACTATGGAGGGCCAACTGTACTCAGATGGCTGGAAAACATACATTTTCCCATAGTCTCCATCAGTTGACCTCATCCATCCCCAAATCTAGCCTCCCTATCCTCATCTTGATGGCAACCAATACCATGTAACAAAATATGAAAATTTTGATTTCTAAAAGTTAGCCAGGCTCGGTGGCTCAGCCTGTAATCCCGCGCTTTGGGAGGCTGAGGTGAGTGGATGGCCTGAGTCCGCGGGTTCGAGACCCGCCGGGGCAACTTGGCGAGACCTCATCTCTACAATAAATCAAAAAATTAGCCAGGCGTGGTAGCACGCACCTGTAATTCCGGCTACTCGGAAGGCTGAGGCGGAAGGATGGCCGGAGCCCAGCAGGTCAAGGCTGCGGTGGCTGGGAGCGGCCACTGCACTCCAGTCTGGGCGACTGAGTGAGACTCCAACTCAAAAAAAAAGAAGAGTTTAGCTGGGCACGGTGGCTCAAGCCTGTAATCCCAGTACTTTGGGAGGCTGAGGCGAGAGGATTGCCTGAATCCAGGGGTTCGAGACCAGCTTGGGCAACTTGGTGAAGCCTCATCTCTACAATAAATCAAAAATAAGCTGGGCATGGTAGTGGGCACCTGTAGTTCTACCTACTTGGAAGGCTGAGATGGAAGGATTGGCTGAGCCCAGCAGGTCGAGGCTGTGGTGGCCATGAGCATATGAGTGCCCTCCAGCCTGGGAGACAGAGTGAGACTCCAACTCAAAAAAAAAAAAGAGCTTTAAAAACCAACTCTTCCCTGGCACGAACAATAAAAATAAAAAAGAAGAAAACATACAGCAAGGCTGACAGAAAGAAAATGAGAATTTTTTTTTTCCCCTAAGAGACAAAGGTCTCACTATGTTGCCCTGACTGGTCTTGAACACCTGTGCTCCAGTGATCCTCCCACCTCCGTCTCCCAAGTAGCTAAGATTACAAGCAGGAGACACTGCGCCAACATGTCTTCTCTATATCAATATCTCAATTTCATTTTCAGAGATCGCTTGTTTGCAACCACTTTAAAGATCTCCTTTGGTTACCATAAACTTTTAGAGGCAAGGATGGACCAGATCTATATTTCAAAGGGAAGGGAAATGAGAGTTTAATGACTTGCTCCGAAGTTACTTAGTAAATCCATAGATGCATTAGAACAATCCTAATTCCCTGAGGTTCCCTTCTGGTTTGTAAAAGGAAAAGGAGTAGCCAAAAACATTCAGCGACTCCTCCAGAAACAAAAACTTTTAAGGCAAAAATAACACCACAAAAAAAGAAGAGCCCAAAGCAGTAAGAGATGATTCAAGTCCCTTTAAGAATATGAATTCCATTACCACTGGCTTCTCCCAGCTCCTTATCCCAATTTTGTCTTTGGAGAACCGTCCTTCCTAATCAGTACCTCAACCACGCTCGGGGCCCGCGCTGAACGCTTGGAGGGTCCCCTCCTCCCTCACTTCACACCACCTCAACGGGAACCCTCCACCCCAGGCGCTCCCCTGCGCATCTCAACATCTCTCAGTCCAGCCTCCGATTCCATTCGGATTCCCTCTCGGGCAAGCAGCTCCCCGAGTCATCTTCCCAACCACAGGCTTCCACCCAACTCAATCCCCAAGATGAGTCGCCTCACCCAGCGCCTCCTGCTCCAGAGCTGCTCCCAACAGGTCCCCCGTTCTCGGATCCCTCTTTGCGCACGGTCCCCCTCGCTCGTCACCCCGACTTGCCGCCTGACTCACCTCACCCAGCCCTTCAGGAACCCCCGATTTCCTGTCTCTCAAAACCCTTCCTCTCCATTTTCACGGCCCGCGCCCGCCCCACACGATTCCCGACCGCTCCTCCCTAGACTGCCCACGCCCCCTCTCGTCCGGGATCCTCAGACCCGGCCCCCGCCCCCCGCCCCTCAGGCCCCGCCCCCAGGACCCCGCTCCCCCCTCAGGCCC